TATCATCTTGATGGAATATGCCAGAATACAAATTAGTAGGGAATCAAGTTACTGTCAACCAAGAGCTATAACTTTGACTCCTTTTTCAATATTTAAGTTTAGGGCTTCTCTTAATGCACAGAATGGAATAAGACAACATGGCAGAAATCAAACTAGTGTTCTAGCCATGATGAAAGCATATGGGCCACGGAGGTTCAAATTTTGAGACCTAGAACTGAGACCAGCTCTGCAACGAAATGTAAGAATTTAGAAAGTGAAGTTATTTAGCTGAGTCTGTTAATTGTTAAGTATTTTTTTTATTACCCATTCAGAGCTAATGACCCTCTGCCCTGAAAACTTCATAATGTAGCTGTAAAGTTCAAAAATAACACTAGGCTAATTGTAAAAGCTTGTGTAGTTCCATGATAACAACAGGTTGAATCATGAAATTGTCAATATTTGTCTGTTTATCACCTATAAAGCTGGTAATTTCAAATAAATATTCTGAAAATGTGGAGGACTTCTCTGTCAAACTTAGAAATATGGTGTTAATAATTTCTATCAGTTTGGAAATTTGTGCCCTCTGTTCTCTTTTACATTGATAATCCTGAAAATGTTACTTGCTTCCCCCTCAGACACATGAATTTGAGGAAAAAGCTAAGCAATATTCTTGAAGATCATGCTAGCCAAATGAGCTTAAAGATATGACTTTAAGCTGAAACAGCAAGAAAAAATACAAACTGATTTATAACAGTCAGAAAAATGGAAATAGATGCTGCGGTTTTATAATTACAACTTAACTAACAATAAGACCAAAATACTGCAAAGAACTCTACTTTCTAAATCTCATTCTAGCCTTAGCTTTGTTATGAACTGGCTATGAGATCACAGGCATAGTTCACTGTGCCTCTGTTTCCACAGTTATGGTGTGAGGGGTCAGAACTATGGTTTTAAAGTTCCTGCTCTATTCAAATAGTTTTTGACTTGTATTACTAATGAACCACAATCATCAAATGATCACAACAGAGAAGGAAACACTAAGGGATCCTCAGGATATCATGAATTTATATTAAAATTTACATAAAAATTATTCTGTAGAAGGTCAAAAATAATTTTCCGGAAGGAAACAAGGGTTAGGCTGATTAAAACTAATCAAAAGTTATGTTGGCCTCAGATCAGGATGGCCAATAAGAGAAAACTATAGAAAAAAAATGAAAAAGAGTATTGGTCTGAAGTATAGATGTCAAAAGATTGCTATTTCAATTGTCTTCTGCAAAGCTGTCTTAAAAGTTAATGCCTCCTTGACAATATGAAGGCAAAAAGTCTAGTGTAAAGATAGGGTCCAATTTTTCCTTCCATTAGATTCTGGCTTCTAGAAATATGACTCCCCACAGCAATGTAGGCATATCCACCTATGTCACATTTCTTCATAAAAAGATAAAGGCTACTTGTATCTATAACAATTTGATTCATAGAAACTCTGTAAAAACTATTTTTCCATAAAGCCTATGATCATGAAGGTAATTGTGAAGGAATTTTTAAAAATGCACGAATGAAAAGCAAGCAGAAAGAAAACACATAGTGGGAAACTAATAGAAGTAATTAAAATGAAAATATTTTACTGCCACCTTATAGAAAGCATATTCCCTTCCCACTAATTTTCCCTCCTCTTAAAGAAAAGAACAAAATTGATTTCCTACCAGTCTATAATTGGTACTATGTTTTTGGAAAGGAAAGCACAGGCTATTTTAGTCATTTTCCAAGTGGTTTTATTCTTTTCAAATGATTGCCAGGAAATTAGATTTCCATTTTTCTTTGTCTATTCATTCATGCTTTTTCTTGGAAATTTGCATGAAAATAAGAGCTGAAAAAAACTCAGCTGAAGGGTACAATTGGAGAATTTATATAGATGCATAACAGTCATTGGAGATCCATGTATATATATGATGTTACAAAGACGTGATTAGACCAACTGTCTATATTTTGAAAAGATTTAATTTTTGCAATCTGTTAGATTTCCATGCACAAATTATCACAGCTGTGGTATACCAACTCAAAAACATGCATATGATATATTTAAGTGAATACACCAGGGAACTATGAAGCTAATAGTTCCTTATTATCTACCGTGGTCACACATGCAAAAAAAAAGAAAAAGTGAAAATAGTCTTTAAAATCTTTTGAACTTTTAAAAATAGCACAATATTAACATGCATTTTCTTCTGTGATAAAATAACTTGTTTTATGAAATGTGGATAACAAAAAAATAAAATCCCTTTAGAGCAACAGAAACATCAGAATAAGCACTGGATAACATCATCTAGGGACACAAGTCATGTATACCATGTAAACAAACAAAAATAGCACATGCCCCTAACTGACTGATGCCAATCCTCACTTGTCAAATCTCTAAAACAGTGACAGCAAACTATTTCCTTTCTTGTATGATCTACAGAAACAGTATAAGATTGTCCTATTAATTTATACAATGCTGAGAATAAATTTCCAGATTTTTCTTAAAATTCAAACAGTGTTTTGGTTAGGAATTCATCACTAAGTTGAAAACCATAAGAAGGCAGCACATCATCCTTCTCATCTCAATTCCTAATGGTTTCACTGAGCAGACTGTCAATAAAAATGTGTTACATGAATCAAGTCAACTGTTCCAGCCTTATCTGACAATGGGGTTGTGTCATTAACCATATTTTCTTTCTAGAGGGGACATGCCTCACTTTCTCAGACAAAAGAGAAAAAGCTGCTATCATTTTTATTAGATACTGAAATGCCACTTTGAAACAGCTTTTAATGCCATTTTCCCTTAGACTACGTATGTTCGCTTCCAAGCACACCTAGTCAACAAAATCTGAATTTCAAGGAGCAATGAAAGAAGAGCCACTCATTTATCTACATGAAGGACTGGCAAACTACAAAGAGTGGACCAAATTTGACCAATAAGCTAAAAATGTCTTTTACATTTTTGAATAGGAGAAGAGCAGTCAAAAGGGAATAACATTTCATAGCATGTGAAAACTATATGAAATTAAAATTTCAGGGCATATAAATGAAGTTTCATTGCAACAACCACTCTCATTCGTTTATGCATTATCTATGGCTGCTTTTGGGCTACAGATGCAGAGATGAGTAGCTGCAAAAGACCCAATGGACCAGGAAACCTAAAATATGCACAACCAGTGCTTTACGGAAAAAAGGTTTACCAATCTCTGTGCTAGATGGTCAGTCCTTTGCCTGTTCACTGGGAAAAAGACAGGAAAGGGTATTGCAGAACCACTAGTTCAGCACAATATATTACTATCCAATTCTTTTAGGGTCATTTTTACAAAGTCAAACTTTTCAAGAATGAAGAAGAAGCAATGAGGAAGAATTTCTTAATATCGTAACATACACATCTTGGAGACAGTTCTTTTATCCCCTTTGGGTCTGTAAATGATGATATAGGCCTTTGTTTCTTTAATTCCTGCTGTATGATTTTATAAGAACTAAATGGTTTTGCACTTAAATATATTAACATATATTTCCATCTGATACCCAAAGAATACATATGATTGGCAATGGGAATTACATCTACGACCCTGAGTTCTAATCCTCTTTCAGAATTCTCGGTGTCTCCAAGGAACCCTCTGATTAAACTTTCTGCTCAGTCTTATATATAAAACTACAATATTACAATTTGAAAAGCTTTCATGCTAAAACTAAATGGTGAGATGCCCTCTGGCTATAAACGGACTTAGATGTTCAAGCAGCTTAGTCCTTTGAAGACAGCGCATGCCTCTTTTTTCTACCGCTGCTCCCTATCCCACCTCATAGCCAACAGGTGCTCAGAAGATACCTCCTGATGATCAGAAAGGCATTTATATTAATTTAGAAAAGTATAAAGCCCTCTTTATTATATTTTCCATAATTAACTCCCTATCACAGCTAATAACATATAAAAAAGAATAACTATTTATTATATCTATCTATATATTTATTATATATTATGTTTTATTTGTATTTCTGTTGCCTCTGGCAAGACAGGTCTTGATTTCATTATTTGTTTTACCTAAAGAGGAAAGTTGAGTGTGAATTACTCAAATGGGCTCATAATGTATATATTCCACATTTATCTATGAAGACTCTGGCAATACTTCCAGCAACATATATATTTGAATTAAACTACAAGTGATTATTCTTAACCACAGAAAGGTAAATATAAACAGAGTCATGATTGGTTAACCTCCCACCCATTCATAAGAGCAATTCTATTCTTGTTAGTCATAAAAGATCATCATCAAAGATTCAAGAGTACAGGTAGAACTTAACATATAAATAGTTTGTCTATATATGGTAATATGCTTGCAAAGGCTGACTTGATTTATGTAAATATCTATTGCTGGAAGACAATCTAAAGCAAGGATGCTAAAATTTGGCAATATGATGCTACCTTGTCCTTCTGTACCCAGACATTTTCCTAATAAGCATGCATGAAGTCTCAGGAACCTTCTCAACACAACACTCAAACAAGTCACTTTACATTAACACCTATTTGCTATCCCTAGTCTCGAGTGATAGTCCCAAAAGTAGATTGTGTGCATTCCAGAGACATACAGATAGTCCACTGGGATATGGACAGACGTAAATAAATAAAATATATAAATTTAAAAAACACGGTTTTTAATACACACATCGATGCTTGAAGAGAGTGTGTATTCAAAATTAATTCATTGATAGATGTGTATGGAAAAGGAATACAGACAAGAAAACTAACTTTTTTACTGTGACTTTCATCTAATTCACCAGAAATGGTTTGACTCAATTTCAGAATACATGTGGATCTTCTAAGGGTAAGTTATATAATATCCATAAACAACTGAAACTGAAAGTGGATTGCTACACCAGCTCATCTGAATCTATTATACTCTGTTGTCTCACATTACCTTCTACACTGTCCATCAACCATCCTGCTGCTGATCCAAATAGTCACCCTACTCATGCCTCCTAAAATGACACACTGACACACTCACTGTTTCTGAAGTAAGTGCTGGTGCTGCTGTTGTTGCTGCTGTCTGTATGTTTCAATTGTGTGCTGAGGAAGGTACTGCATCAGTTCCAGGGACTCTTTGATCTTCAGCAGCATTTCGTAAGTCTCACGGCCCCTCACCTGTGTACACAAGCAGGAGGAAAGAGAAAAAAAAATGAAGAGCTATGGAACTGTTAGAAGTACAGCAATCCTCCTTATCTGTGAATTCCATAATTGCAAATTTGCCAACTTGCTAACATTTATTTGTAACATGAGAATCCATACACCTGGTGCTTCTGTGGTCATTCACAGGCATGTGCAGTGTGACAAAGTATCTGAGTCACCCATGAGGTTAAACATGGAACAGGAGATGCTTTGCTTCTTTGTTTCAGCTCTCATGCTGTGAACCCATGTTCCTTTCATGGTCTATTTAGTACCACATTTTTCACATTTTTGTGCTTTTTGTTGGTGATTTCTCTATTTAAAGGAACACTCAGGTATAGTGCTGAAGCGTTATCTAGTGTTCTAACTGCAGGAAGGTTGTGCATGGGGAAAACGTGCATGTTAGAAAAGCTTCGTTCAGGTGAAAGTGATAGTGCTATTGGCCATGAGTGCTATGTTAATGAGTCAACAAGATACATTAAATAAGGTATCCTTAAACTGAAACACACATAAAGCAAAGTTAGATATTTATCTGTTGATGAAATGTGACAAGAGGCACATAGGAACCTAATCCTGTATTTCAATTAGGAGCAACAATTCAGCATTCATTAATACAGTTTCTGCAGCAAGTTTATGAACTACCACACAAACAAAAAAAGAACTGACCATAAATACGTCTTGTGAACCAAAGTTTTCAACTAGAATACAATATGTTTCTCTCTTTAAGAGAGTCTCTTGAAAGCTTTAAAAATTAGAAGCAGGGCCAGGACTAGGACAAGGCAAGAGAGGCACTTAGGGCATGTGCAGTCCCTGAAAGTGAATGACTACTTAAATTTTGCACTATAGGCACTTTACCTGGTTACTCCGGTGCCAGCCCTGACCTTACTCTTCTAGTCACATCTTTGTTTCTTTCTGTGTGGTTCCATAGCCCTATGCCTAGCTTTAGGGAAGCATTTATATCATTACATTATAACTGGGTCCTTAAAAGAAAGCAAACTCTTTGAAAGTAAGAATTGTGTCCTACTGATTTTTAAATGCTCAGGGTCTAACATATTTGCCACTCCACAAATACCAACTAAATACATGTTAAATTACAAACATTTAATTCCCCTCATGAATTTTAGTTTGGCCAGTTTTTCACTAAATTTAAGATGCAACTCATTATAGGGTATCTCCCTCTTAGTACAAACAATTTTTAAAATAGGTTTTCAAGTAGCTCTTATCTTACCAGTTGAAAACATATAAAGTATTTTATAATATTTAGTATATTAGGGTAATGTTTTACTTTAAAATCTCAAGTCAGCTTTCATATGTAGCTTGAGAAATGAGAAACTGAGAACTTCAGCTAGTTCACTGTCTGACTGGTCTACTGGCAATCTATTCCCCTGAGAGTCAAGGCTCAAAGAAGGTGGGGCAGAAGGTATGGCACACCCAAACCTGTTGAGTTGCTTTAGTTTAATCCCAGGGCAGGAGCTCACAGTCAAATCTCCTGGCCCTGCTTGCCTGTGTCTCGTGTCACTTTAGATGACATCAAGGGTTACACTGGTCACTAAAACTTCATTGCCACTCTAGATGACAAAGACCGAAGGCAATAAGAATTCAACTAACTGCAACCATAGTCTAATAAAGTGATTTCATTAGTGACCTCAAGAGGGCTAATGCTCCTTGTAGGCATGAATGTGAATCTTACACAATGATTGGGTCAAGTCTTCTGGCCTTTCACACATACAGCAATCCCTCACTGTCTTCAGGGGATTGATTCCAGGACCCCCTCACAAATGCCCAAATCCTCAGATGTTCATATACCTTATAAAAATGGCATAGTACTTGCATATAACCTATGTGCATCCTTTATATACTTTAAATTAGCTCAAGATCACTTAGATTACTTAATATAATGAAAATATAAATGCTATGTAAATAGTTGTTGTACTGTATTATTTTTGTATTTGTATTTTTAAATTATTGTTAAGTATTTTTGATCTGTGGTTGGTTAAATCCACAGATGTGGAACCCATGGATATGGAAGACCAAATGTAATTGAGGATTCTGCCTTGCTTGGCATTCTTTACAGAACTCCCTAAAGAAATCAGTCAACTCTATAACTGCTGTATTATGAACTCTGTGAATTCTTTCTTACAAAATTTTAGGCCTAAATTGGTATGGCCATGCTGTCTAAGACAATCTTATCTTTCTCAAATAATAAAGTGCAAATTAATTTGAAATATTTGGGGAAGAAAAATTCTATTAGGAAGGTAGCTTTAATTGGGTGGGTAGGTAAACAGAGAAGCTCATGCTATTGATATATTCTAAAACTGTAGAGGGAAAGGATTATTTCCTAATTTTTCAAGACATGTATTCTCTCTGCTTCCTATTACTAGACCAATCCCCCCAACCATTATGGACTGAATGTTTGTGCCCTCCAAAGTTTATATGTTGAAATTTTAACCCCCAATGTGATAGTATTAGGAGGTGGGGCCTTTAGGAAATAATTTAGGTAATGAGGGTAGAGACCTCATGAATAGGATTAGTGCTTATATAAAAAAAAACAAACAAACCTAAAGCTTGCTAGCTCTTTCTGCTATATGAGGATACAGGGAGAAGATGGTAGTTTGCAACTCAGAAAAGGGCCTTCGCCGAAACTCCAGACTTCCTCTTACAGCCTCTTTGAGAAAGAAACTATGAGAAAATAAATTTATGTTGTTTATAAGCCATCTAGTCTATGGTCCTTTGTTGTAGCAGCTTCAACTGACTAGACCGAAGGCAATAAGAATTCAACTAACTGCAACCCATTGCCTTCCCCATGGCCACAGATAATGGGAAGGTGATCATATAATAAAAGCTCATTCAAAGGGGGTTAAATTGAAGCAACCATTAACACTCAAGGGAGACTCACTGGTAAGTATAACAGTTCATCATCAGGGGATCTTCGTTTCTTGATGGATGTCATCTGGATACCATGTGTGTTCTGACGGAAAGCTGGTGGAAGAAAAATGCAAGTTTCATCCTGGGAATATTTCTGAAGCAATAATATGTATTCAATATATTTAATAACTACATATTAATATTAATAAAAGTTAACAAAACATTATTAGGCAGGCACTAACACCAGCAATACCTATGGGGTTAGAGATTCTAGTCCTAAGAATTCATTTAATTCGTGACAATTGCTATTACAATGAGTGCTGATCCCAGCAATAACAAGGTGAGAAGCAGGTGGGCAAGAATAAGTAAAAGAAAGAAATTAAAGATGCTGGAAAAAGTCCTTTAGCTTCAGAAACGATGCAGGAAACCCTGTGTCTTGCTAGTATGTGTCTGTGAACAGCTGTTAAAAGAAGAGAGAAATTGGTTTTGCATTTTTTTAGGTCATCTATCTTCTGAGGAAGTAAGTGTGTATGGTAGAGGCTATCTTGCCAATAGTAAAATAAGTGAATTAATAAGTGATGAATTCCAAGTTTCCCAAATTATAAAGTACACCCAGGATACAGATATACAGATGATCTTTCTACCAGAACTCAGATACTTTATATTAATGAAAATCATTAATTGGTTACTAATTGGTGTGCTCAGGGAAAAGTTTAGGAATTATGCTATAGGCAGAGTCAAGAACAAAATTAAAACGAACTATATGAATGAAATATATATATATATATATATATATATTATAATTTTTATCATATATGATTTTGAGGAATCATCAGAGAGAGAATGAGCCTAACAGGAAAAGCATCTTAAAAAATACTTAAAAGTTTATGGTGATGAGTTCTCCTGTAAAGTACAATACAATGTTTATTTCTTCTGGATATGAATCAATGATAAAATTAAGCCCTTTTTCACAAAATAAATCATAGTGTTGTATACTTTAAAATACATGTTGCAGTGATATCAGGCCTATGCAAGTTACATTCTAGAATCAAATTTCACCACAAGTAAGAAGCACATGTGGATCAGTGGTTTCAAACTCTGATACCCATAGTTCTAGGACTCAGTGAAGCTATGAGGATAGAGCCATGGAGCTACAGACCATCCCCGATTTCTGCCCCTTCAATTAGAGCAGCTGTTTTTTTAATTTTGCATTGTGGGTTCCTTGAAGTATTTCATCTTTGAAAATCTTCACTAATTACAAAAAAAAGTTTAAAAACAGTTGATGTAACTGAGACCCCCAAGAAGGTCATACATGTAAAGTCAAGACTCCATGAAACCCAGATCTGCATATTCCACAGACTGTGTTTCATGAAATGCATTTTAAGATCTCACTGCTCTCATAGAGTCCTAAGATGAACAGGTGCTATTTTTAGTCCCCATGATTAATAATGGAAAGAAAAATTGATACCAACAAGCTAAAATATTGGATCTCAAACTTTAGCTAATATCACTTGGAGGGCTTACTAAACAGACTGCTGTGCCTCACATGCAAAGTTTCTGATACAGCAAGTCTGCAGTCTAAGAATTTGCATTTCCACCCAGTTCTACATGATGTTAATACTACTGGTATGGAAGTGGAAGTTACATTCTGAGGACCTCTATACTAAGAAATCCTCACAATGACTATTTACTTTTGTAAAGTTGTAGTATGTAACTGTATTTCAGTGCTATATTATTCTCACTGTCTCTGGGCCTTAAGTTATACTTGCTGCTTAAGGTCACAGGTTTTATCATGAAGTTTCTCTAATATCACCCCATCCTCCAACATCTGAGAAGACTCAACCCTGCCCCATTTGGCCACTACATCTACTTACGGCGCTTCGTACCATCACCATTCTTTGTGCTGTCCGAAACTTGCTGCTTTCTGATACTGTCTTCATCCGCCTTTCTATCCCTTCCTGGGCAAGCACAGATCCGGGCCTCAAAGCAGCGTCGGCCCAGAACTTGCCCACTAGGAATTAGAAAATGGGGAGAAAGGAGTTACATTCAAAGCATTTTAAAGGTCCCAGGAACTCTTCCATTTCCATTCCCCACACGGGCCATCCTCAGTGTACCATCACCCTAGCTCAGTCATGGCTGCTTTGAGGATGGACCCAAAAGCACTTGGCAGAACACAAAAGTGCTTACATGCCACAAGCGACATTAGTAAATAACATTCCATTTGTTCTGCAAAGAACCTCCAAGCCATTAGCTGAACAGCTGTATTTAGCTACATATTTTTGAAGGAAATTTGAGTTAAGCCAGTGGATGTCTCGGGATAAAATCCCCTTAGGCAGCCCAGACTTACTCAAAGAAACTGTCAAATGCCTTGGGGGCCATATGAAAATAAACATTGTCTAATCAGAAACAATGCCAGTCAAATGTCAAGAATTCAGGTATGAAGCAACTTGCACTCCTTCCCAGCTCTTTTCTCCCTCTCTGCTTTTACCCACCCTCTTCTGTCTCCACTTTCTTAGATCTTTTATGTATGTGTTTGCAGCAAGGATTTAAAGCACAAATAACAAAATTAAGGGTAGCTCTCTGCTGTACGTGCAAAGTTAATGATAAAGCAGACACAATTTCGCCTTGCCCTCTGCCCATGATCTTTTGTAGAATGACGATTCTACATATGCCACTTACTCTCTGGTTTCCAGAGTAACAATGATTAAAATTGGACGGCGGTTCATCCCTCCAACACAACTGCTGTTACACATGAAATTGTACAAGACGGTCGTGAATTCAGTGCCAACCTGAGGACAGGGGAAAAAAAATCTGGGTTAACAATTGTTTTGAACTGATCTTGTTCCTTCTCAGTTCTCCCTACTACTTTAAATAATTCCACTTCTGAAGAAGGGATATGCTTCTTTCTAGGAAGGCAAACTCTGAAACCCATTATAGCTTTTTCTTTACTTTTCCTTCAGGGAAGCCCAAAGTTAATGTCTGCAACACTGGACACATTAGGTGAGACATTAGGCTTTAACAGATTTTTTAAATCATTGACCCTGTTTATCTGCAATCTGATCCACATCACCAGATTCAAATAGGCTAAACCACATGCATGAATATCACTGAAAAGTGAGAGCTGGAAATAATTGCCAAAAATAGCAACAATATGCCAAGGCTATTTTCTACGTAGATAAAACAGTATAACATAGATTTGAATATACACTTCCATTTATAACACCCTGGAGCTCAAAAGCTCTCAGAATTAAATAATCTAAAGTGCACATCTATGGGTAAGACAACAGAGCCTAGAGAGGGTGCATCACATGCCAAAGGTCTACACAGCAAGCCAGTAAACCAAAGCACTTCAGTTTCCAAGTTAATTCCAATCATATCTAAGAGTTTTGGAGGGAAGGTATATGAAAAATAGAGGGGAAAAAGTATAAAAAAGGTTATATACTTGATAACAAGGACTAAGACAGTGATATATTCCAGAAATATTCCCTGTCACCAGAACTGTTCTCTCAAGCCTGCCCAGTCCATATATTGTGTGTGTATGTGTGCATTCATATATAGACATATAGTTTTTTTGTTGCTGTTTTTTGTTTTGCTTTGTTTTTACCTGGGGTGGCTCATAAGGTACCAGCACACTCTGTCTTCCTGTGATGGGGTCTTCTACATATTGGGCATGGCTGTTCCCTTCTACTCGAATCAAATGACTAGGAGGGGCAATCTGTCCTGTAGAACAGAAAAAGACAAAATAGTTCCTTACCTTTAAAATAAGAGAATAAAATGAAAATACATAGACATGATGCTGGTGGCCAAAGAAATGGTCTGTGCAATAAAGAAAATATACATCCTTGAAAAACAAAACAGATCCTCTTGCCAGGTATCAAATACATGAAAGTAAATCAAATTTTATAGCAACAGAAAAGGCTGGAGTGGTCATCTATATTTAAGGAAACATTACTATGCTTTGGAGTCTAAGGCTAACAATTAAGCTTTTATAGAACTCTATAACTATATCTCTGACCTCATCTATAGAGGAAATTTTGCCAGCTTCTCTGAACTATGAATGCAAATGAAGCAAGTTAATTAAAAAAAATGCGTTTGACTAAGAAAATGTTGCCCAAAAGTCTGGCCAGCAAACATACTAAATAAGAAGCAGAAGTTAGCAGGATATGACTTTCAACTTGCTTATTCTTTTTTGTCTTCTCCATATTCAGACTTTGCTTTGATCATAAAGATAAGAAGTTTGCTGATTTTATTGTGCTGAAGGAGTCCCAGGTTGGGGACAAGAAAAGGGAAGCAAGCTATAAAAATAGCCTAGGAAAGTTTTATAAAATTGTGATACTTAGCAGAGCTCCAAAAGAAAGAAGATGCTCCAAGAATTGGGATCCATAAATCTGTTCTTAACCTTAGGCCATGTAGCCTCATTCTTAAAAAACTGCTTAATAAAAGCAAAAAGCTGAGTGTATCAAGATGTTCTCTGCTGCATCTATTAATAATGATAAGAAACTAAAAACAATTAGTATGTCAAAAATGAGAAAGCAGTTAAAAAATACTATGTTCTCTTGATGCAACACAGGAAGTTAGGTAAACTGATCATGAAGCCTAGCTATCCAAAATATTTTTTATGGTATGTTGTAAAGCAAAAAAGCAAGACACAAAGGTGTGGATAATGTAGCCATGTATACAAGGACTAGAAATTACTGTATACACAATAGTTGTGTTAAAGAAGATTTTTACTTTGTTTTCTCCTTTTAATTTCAATCCACTGTCTTTCATCTTCCATTAACTGTCTCTGTAATCTATTATATTCTGCAATATTTATATATTCAATTTACCAATATTTATATTTTAATATGTTTTTCTAGCAAGTATCCTAACTTGCATCAATTCCTGCACCCTCGTCACTTTTTGATGATTCCTAATGCTGTCTCCTGTTCTTACTTTTCACTTTTCATTACTTTCTACTTAGTCTTCTTTGATAAAACTGTAATATCTGATTTAAGGGAATTCTTGAAAATAGTGACCTCGTCTTCAAACTTGTTGTTGGATCTGAGATTCAGAAGATGAGGCATGGTTTATTCATGGATGCAGAATTGGCCTAAAGATGCCTACAGTCCTGACTCCCAGTCCTTCATTGGACTGCCACCCCTATCATCTTATGCTCTAGGCCTTCTATTTATTCTTCTTACCCATTATTTGCCCTCTTATTACTTTTATTTCACCCTTTTCTTTTTTCCATTATTTCTCTCATTTGATACTCTTTTCTCTTACTTTCAACTCTCAACTGGTCTCTCTGGGAAATTCAATAAAGCTGACAGACATTGTATCCCAGGCCAAGCAGAACAGCACCATGTTGTTCTTACAGCCTCTCACAAAAAAAAAAAAAAAAAAGGGCAAGAACAAAAAGGAAGGAAGTAGAAAGGAGAGAGTAGTCCAGGCCATATAGTAATTATTATTATTATTATTTTTTTTGAGTTGGAGTCTCACTCTGTCACCCAGACTGGAGTGCAGTGGCTGCTCCCGACCACCGCAGCCTCGACCTGCTGGGCTCTGGCGATCCTTTCGCCTCAGCCTTCCAAGCATCCGGAATTACAGGCACGCGCTACCATGCCTGGCTAATTTTTTTATTTATTGTAGAGATGAGGTCTCGCCTGCCCAGGGGGGGTCTCGAACCCGTGGACTCAGGCAATCCACTCACCTCAGCCTTCCAAAGGCGCGGGATTGCAGGTTGAGCCACCGAGCCCGGCTAGTAATTATTAATATTAATTAAATAGTTTAACCATTGTGAAAACCACTAATTTATTAATCACTATTCAGAATACTCTATTAGCCAAAAGAGCAAAGTGAGCTCCCATCAGAGTGCAGAAGTTCGAACCAGGTAAGTAGGTCCCAAACAAAAATATCCACAGGATCTTCATCTTCAAGGAGCTTAACTGAAGAGTTATAGGTTCCAATTCTCCTTACCCTCATTGAATTCACGGCTCAGTTCATGATTGGGGCACCGCTTTACCACCTCAGTGACATGTTCGGCTTTCTTGTAGACAGGCATGGCACGGATGACAGCGCCCTGAGGAGGTGGAGTCATCACCTTGATCTGGATAGGGCATGTCTTGGCAATTTGGCAGTACAACTTCTTCAGTTCAGTGGAATACTGCTTAGAGATGGGGCGGGTGGTGAAGGGGAGAACCAACAGGAGATATTGTTACATTTCAAATCAGAACAATGAAAATATATTCACTTTTGATAGTCTTTATGGCTGCATGTTTATCAGTGACTACCATATATATGGCATATGCTAATCTTTTTTTTTTTTTTTTTGAGTTGGAGTCTTACTCTGTCGCCCAGGCTAGAGTGTCATGGTACACTCATGGCCACCCCAGCATCGACCTGCTGGTTTCCTGTGATCCTTCTGCCTCAGCCTTCCAAGTAGCTGGAACTACAGGTGCAAGCTACTACACTTGGTTAATTTTTTTTTTTAATTGTAGAGATGAGGTCTTGCCAAGCTGCCTGGGGCTCAGGCAATACACTCACCTCAGCCTCCCAAAGTGCTGGGATTACAGGCTGAGCCACCAAGTCCGGTGACATATGCCAATCTTATTAGAGAAAATTATATTCATTAATCAAATTAGTAATTTTTTAGTACTTTAAATATAATCCTATGTTTACAAAAGGTTTTACATTTATCAAAACACATTTATATCATTACTTCCTGTCATCTTCTCTTTAGGATGAAGAAACTGGCTCAATGGGGTTTAAATACTTAATATCATGAGTAGTTTCATAGACCAACAGAAACTAAATGGAAAAACAGTGTTTTCATGTATTGAATATTACACAGCAAACTATAAAGACAGCCTTCTGCTTAGCAGATTATCATTAACCTAGTCCTTACAATACTCTAGAGAGATGCATAGGAATTAAGGTCCAGGGAATTTTTTTAAAGATGGAAAATCTACTAGAGAGTGAAGAGATTTTAATTGGGGTCATCCAGCTTGAAAACTGCAAAGCAAGAGCTTCCGTACACAATTGCACATGAGTTAGAGTTTTGCTCTGTCTCCAAGACTGGCGTGCAGTGGCATGACCTCGGCTCACTGCAGCCTCGACTTCCTGCGCTCAGGTGATCCTTCCTCCTTAGCCTTCTGAGTAATTGTGACTACAAGCACACACCACTACACAGGTTTATTTATTTGTTTGTTCATTTATGTATTTATTTTTTTGTAGAGATGAGGTCTCGCTATGTTGCCCAGGCTGGTCTCAAACTCCTGGGTTCAAGCATTACTCCTGCCTTGGCCTCCCAAAGTGCTGGGATTACAGGTTTGAGCCACTGCGCCCTACCTGATTTTTTAATGTCAAGGAGTAACTGAGTGCAAGAGCTGTAAGTGGCCGCTTGGTCCTATATTCCCCCAAACAACTGGCCTAATGTACCGCAGCTAATCATGGCACAAAAAAGATCCAAATTCAGATCTTTTCTCTCACAAGTAGGTGAAACTTTTCCTTCCCAGTCTTCCTTTGTTCCGCAGGGAGAGAAAGTTCAGTGGTGGTTAGTTGGTTGTAGAGTTAGCAAAATAGGGTGGAGAAAGTCTGAGACCTAGAACTGAATAGGAAAAAAAAGGTCCTATCCTGTGTTGCTTCCCTTTCCTATCTTTGAATTAGAACAAAGAGTCTCCATTCCAATCCTTACACTATATTAAACCTTATCACCCCTGTTCTCTGGGTCAATGCCTCATCACTGCATTCCTACTCAATCAGATGCTGAGGTAAAACCACCCAGGCACTGGAACTGCTGGCCAAGACTGGGCACCTAGTAACACTTATCCAAACAAAGGGTAAACATACACAGGTTGCAATCATAAATTGGCAGAAACACCCTCCCAGGGGAGAGACACCGGGAGGCCAAAGCCAGAGTAGCAAACAGATTCATTATTGATAGGACTCATCCCAATGCTCATTAAAGGCAAATATCCTACCAAAAATCACATTTAAAATTATGGCTTTAGCTCTTCCTTTTGAAATATAGTATTTATTTAAACAATCTTTCCTTTTCTCTCAAGTATTTCAGTATATTAAATTCTCAGTTAGAAATTTCCCAATGCTAGAGGAGAATTGCAAAATCACTCCTCCATGCCCACAGGCCATGGATTATACACAGCAAAATAGTTTTACATAGCTTGAAGGAAGAGGAAGCATGCCAAAATTCAACCACAAAAATATTCTACTTGGGAAAGACCGAATGAAATCTAGATGGAGATTTCTGCTCTTGTGTTTTAAACTATTAACTTTATAAACAAAAGACATTGTTTTAGGACACATTAAGAACTCAATTTTATTAGAAATCCAAGAAAATAAGCATATCCATTTGTATTTTTGTTAGGAGGTATACAATACATAATCTAACCATGCCTTTCATAAAATAAACCTTAGGACAGATAACTGAAAGTAAGTAAGTCTGTCAGCTAGCACCTAAAGGCAAATCAGGCATCCTTCCAAGTATGTAGAGATTATAAAAATGAAAAAAAGAAGTGTTCAGAGAAGGCCAGTTTTCTGAGAGAAATATTCCACTTCAATAATTGCTATTCTATAAATCAAGCTTGACTAAAGCATAAAAGTGCTAAGAATAAGGTTAGCCGTCATCAAGTACTAATTCTCATTCATTCTCAGGAACAGGAGTGGGGAATTTAATTTCTGATCTTAGATAATGATAAATAATAGTAGCTTCATCATTTACTGAGTTCTGTTGCAAGAAATTTAATCCTTACATAACCCCGTGAGGAAGGTATTACGGGTATACAATCTCTTATCTGAAACCCCTGGGGCCAGAAGTTTCAGAATCCACAATCATCCAGATTTTAGAAGGAGAGTAAGTTTTGCATAGCATATATTATAAATATATTCAGCAGGATTAGAGCAGCACCTATGATCAAGCCATTCACTTTTCTGCAGAATTCATGAATACACTAACTGGGAAATGATTATAAAGCCTCATATTTCTGGCTGCTTTTCACCACCAAATGAACACGCCACAATTTTAGAAAATCAAAACAAAACAAAATTAACTTTTGGTATTCAGAACACTTTGAATTACAGATTACAGATTATAGACCTGTATTATTAACCCTATTTTATAAGGTAAGAAAATTAAGGCCCAGAAAGGACTTGCCTGAGGACCTGCTTATCAATCAGTATGAGTCTTAGACCTATAATAACGACCAATACTCATTTCTATACTCTTAACTCAGTTTTGCTAATGTTTACATTTTTCTAATATTGTCGCTCTTTTTTGAATTAACTTAAAATGTATACAGTCTTCTCTGACATAATAATGAAGTTCAAAATTCATCTATCAAACATCAATAATTTCATTTAATTTATTTCTCAGTATAATTCTTGCTAATTTAATTGTGGCAAGTGATAGAGTTGAAAAAAACTCTGGGCTAGGAGGAAGCCAACCTGGACTCTCGAACCAGCTGGTTCTGGGGAATTGAGGAATAAGGTCATTTTCTTTCATATGGACCATTAAAGACTTTTTAAGGCCCTTTGTATTCTGGCCCTATCTCTCACCCCCAACACCCCATCATGTCCTCTACATTTCCCACCCCATGTTCTACCCATACAAACCTTTTAATGCCTCAAGCACACCATATGTTCATCACCCACAATTCAAAGTGCTATTCCCAGTCTCAAACACTTTTGTTTTTCCTCTGTTCTCTATACCACTTCAGGACAATTTAGATAACAGTCCTGGGCTAGGATGGCATCTGGTATTGTAGACCATATTTTCCAATATTAGTGATGAGGGTTGCATATTTGACTAAATCAAAATATCTACCCCAGCCAAGATGTGCTACATTTATTGTTTTTGGTTAAATTACCAGGCCTGCCATTCAGTAACTAGAGGGGTTTAAGTGGTCTGGCAGAATCACTTCTATATAAAGCCAAGTCTCTGCTACTCTGTTTGCTTCACTGTTTGCAAATTGGTTCTGTGATGTCATTCAATTTTTTTTCAGTACTAAATTCAGTATCCATGGCCTATAGTGTATTAACATTTCCTTAGACTTGTCTACTTCCTTACCCCTAACCAAATAGCACTATAATCTTCTCCAATTTTCCAGATTTCTGAAGATCACTAAAAACTAGAATCTCATTAACTCCAAGATTTTTAAACACCCTGATGATTCAAGTCAGCAGAGGCTGCAAATTTGAACACATATGGCCTCTTTTAACATCTCTCTGGAATTTTAGAAATCAACCTCTAAATTGCTTCACCAAATTATTTAATTCTAAGGCCTAATATATTATTTTTTGTGAGGGGGTTTTGTTTTGTTTTATATGGTATACTTTTCTGTAAGGTACACTAAATTTTACGTGTACAACTTGATGACTTGACAAATGTACACTATGTGTAACCACTATTTTTTTTTTTTTTTTTTTTAGTTGGAGTCTCACTCTGTCGCCCAGACTGGACCTGCTGGGCTCCGGCGATCCTTCCACCTCAGCATTCCGAGTAGCCAGAATTACAGGCATGCGCTACCATGCCCGGCTGATTTTTTGATTTATTGTAGAGATGAAGTCTCACCAAGTTGCCCAGGCGGGTCTGGAACCCGCGGTCTCAGGCAATCCACTCACCTCGGCCTCCCAAAGCACTGGGATTACACAGGCTAAGCCACAGAGCCTGGCTTGTAACCACTATTATAATTAAGCTGTTGAATATGTCCATCTCCTTCCAATGATCTTTTGCCCCTTTGTAATTAATCCCCTCCAAAACCCCACCCCTAGGCAATCATGTACCTGCTCTCTCTCATTACAGTTCTATCTTTCCAGAATTTTACATAAATGAAAAAAATACAGAACATAATCTTATGTGATAATGCTTTTGAGATTTATCCATGTTTTTTGCATGCATTAGGATTCCATTGTATACTTGAGTGAAATTTCATTATTTACCAGTTCACCAATTATTTCTACTTTTTCTCTATTGTAAATGGAAGTATTATGAGCAATCATGTAAAATTTTTTTATGAGGATATACATTTTCATTTCTCTTAAATAAATACCTAGGAATATAATTGCTGAATAATTTTGAAAGAAATTACCAAATTGTTTTACCAAGAGGTTGTGCTATCTTACATTGCCACTTGCCATAAATGAGGGTTT